CCAGTGAGCGGGAACCGGTCTGTATGTGGGATCCGAACCCTCGGGCAGGAGCGCCGCCGCCCTCCCAAGCGGCGCACTATAGCAATGTGCCACCGGGCCGGCCCGCAACAGACTTAATTAAACATTTCTAAGCCATTCCTTTATGCCAGATATTGTGAATTAGATACAGTTAAGAAACAAGTTAGATACATTTAATTTTTGAAGTATAGTTAAAACATATTGCCAGTATATATCAACATTTAAAAATACTTTTCAAGTTCTTTCTTTGTAATATTTTTTATTTGTAGAAGGAAGGAATTAGGTACAGGAACCAGATCACCTAGGCATTTAGCATAGAATTTTCATATGCTCATATATCCCCTGAGGAAGTGTTTGACTGAACAGTGCTATTTTTAATATTGTATTTATAGGTTGAGTCCTGCAGTCTTAACCAAAAAGACAAGCTCTTAGAAATTTAATAATTGACAAAATAAAGCTGAAGACAATATGTTTCTATAAATGACTTCCATGGAAGCAAAATCTATGAACTGATTTTATTTTAACTGAGCTCAAATAACATACACAAGTGTGGGAATTTTTTGGTTTGCTTTTAAAAAATATATGTCCCCAAACCGGCTCTTTGGGGCATCAGTTAAGATATCTTGAGGAAATTTTTTTTTTTTCCTTTTTGTCTTTTTTCGTGTCCGGCAACGGATCGCAACCCTCAGTGTCGCGCCCGCACCGGACCGGNGAGCGCCGCCGCGCTCCCAAGCGGTGCACTGTAGCAGTGCGCCACCGGGCCGGCCCTTGAGGAAATTTTTAATCTAAGTTTATTTAATATTTTTTCTTTCTTAGATTGCTTTTAGTGCTCTTATATAATATTGTATCTTCTTTTCACACTTTTTCTTTCATATTTTAGATTATGAGGAATTCTCTTTAACTGTTACCTGAATAATTAGTGAAATAAAAGTGAATTTGAACAGCTATTCGTTCACTCTTTTTTCATTGAATATTTGCTGAGTGTGTACCAGGCACCACGCTCATTTTTGCTTATACAACAGTGACACCAAATAGACATTATTTTCGTGTTCACGGAGCTCTAGCCAAATGGGGTCAACAGGGATGAAGCAAATAGTCACAGGAACACACAAATCCTTGAGAACAAGAGACGACTGCATGAGATGACTCTGCAGAGGCAGCTGAGGGCATCGTCCTTGAGATGCGGCCCTCGAGATGGGCAGATTATCCTTAATTACCTGGGTGGGACCGATGCCATCACCAAAGTCCTTCAAAGTAGACATAGGAAGCAGAGTGATAGAATCAGAGGGATGCCATTGTGGGAAGGACACAGCCCGGCGTCGTTGGCCTCGAAGAGGGAGAAAGGCCACCACAGCCACCGAATGCCAGAGCCTCTAGAAGCTTGAAACAGCAAGAAAGCAAATTCTCCCCTAGAGCCTCCAGAAAGGATGCAGCCCTGCCAACACCTTGATTTCAGCCCAAGGAGACCCATTTTGGACCTCTGACCTCCAGAAGATTACACATCTATGTTGTCTTAAAACAACTACAATTTGTGGCAACTTATCAAAGCTGACATAGGAAACTGGTACACTACCTGATTTAAAACTCATACCAACCTGTTTCACTGGCCAGATGAGCATCCTTATTTTCAGGTAAAGGAAATGAAGCTCAGTGAGGTCCCATGACTTTTGGCTCAAGCCCATCTTCCTTGAAGGTTGTGCACGAGGGCCAGCGTGCTGCCTCTAAACCCGGAACGGAGAGCGTGAACACAGGGGACAGTGTAGGGACAGACACCAGGGGTGCTGTTTTAGAAGTGTTGAGTTTGAACAGCCTCTATATAGGACAGAAAGTAAGAAGCACCGGCTATTGAAGGGCACCTCTCAGGTGGAAGTAGAATTGGGATGCTATCAGCAGGAAAATGATTTTCAAAGTCATGGGAATGAATGACATTACCTGTGGGGGTGACATACAGTGAGATGAAAGGGCAGTGAACTTGGGCATGGCTGTGTTTAGAGTGGAGGGAAGGTATAGAGACAAAAAGGAGCTTCCCAAGTGTCGTTCCTCCTCCTAGGCAAATAAAATAACATCATAAAATATGTAAAGGATCCTTAGGATACGTAGGATCTTCAGGTGCAGCCAAGCCTGGTCATATATTACAGCAAACCTAAATCCCCCGGCCACCTTCTGTAAAATTGCAACCCTTTGTCAATATACCCTACCTCCCTCACTTTCTGTGTTCACCTGTAGACTTATTACCTTCTAACCTAACATACATCTTATTTACGTGGTTTGTGTATTATCTGTCCAGCACCATTTATCTGTGATTCAGGAGAGCAGCCACTTGCATGGGATTATTTCGCTACTGTTGAAAGAAAGATACAGATTTACTCATCGATTGTTTGGATCCCTATGGCTAACGTATAATAATAACAATAATAAAAACCCCTTGATGTCTGTTGTGTAAAAAACGAAAACATTTAGTAAGTAAGTGATTTCCCTTTTGACTAAATGCCACAGGTGCCCACTTTATATCTGTTTACTTTCTCTGATTTAAAGTTCTTCTTTTCTGGTTCCAAAGTGCTCAGGGCAAGTTCCTACTAGATCACCCATTTCATCAAAGAGTTTTTCCCCCTCTGAAAACCCCCATCAAATGCTTGGCATGGATGTTGGGGACACGATGGTAATCACTGGCGGCACAGGGCCGTTTCACCCCTGTGGACACACCCGGGGATGAATAAGCCTGAGCCTGTGGGAAGCTCCTTTCCCACACTCGATGAGTTGCTTTTCTCCACTTTATTACCCAGTGTAAAGAAATGCACAGAAAATAGGCTGTTCCACCCGGGCACGAAAACCTCAGTGTCAGCATCCCCACCTGCCTTTGCAAGCACCAAGTCATCTTTCAGTGGGGATCAGAGATGGGAACTGCGAGGTTACCCTCATGTAGGGGTTGGAAGCCACCTCTCCCAAGTGTTCTGAGAAAGGAAGCTCATTAATTCCATGCTTCACAGGAAACAAATATGAACAGCCAATTCTTCAAGTTCCAAGAACATGCTCTTTTTCTTGGGTGGGTTCAGTAACTTTATCAAAAATCATCTTTATCAAAAAATGTAGGATCGAGAGACTCCTGATGATTTTCTGTGACATTGGCAATTATCCTTTCTTGTGAGGCTTCGTTTGTCATAAAAACCACGACAGGTTATTCTCAAGACATCTTTGGAATCATTTTCCTATTACTTTACTAATTATCTTTTTTCTACTTG